TTGTTTCACCTTTTCTTCGGGCTTCCTCGAATGACTTTCTTATCCCAAGGCCTTGGAGAGCCATCTTGTGTTCAAGGAGACCAGCATGCCAATTTAGCGTGGTGTTTTGAAAATTTCAGCACTGGGCTTGCTTACTCATTCCATTTGATTTCCTAGCCTCCAAGCAGACTTAACAATACATATAATTTCCATTTTTCTCGTAGACCAGCCACGAATAGGTTTTGAGCCACGGCTCAAATAATCTTCATTCCTTAGATTTCACAGATTTCGCTTGTGCTGATTCTTCATTGTCTTCATTTGCTTTCGTGCCATCTTTCTCCATTGCAGTTGCCGTTTCTTGTTCTTGGTGTTTACTCGCTTCGGGCTGTTTTGCAAATGAGAGCTGTGTTTACCCCTCCAGGGGCTTAAGTTTTTCTTCAGTGGCATTTAATTTGAATAACAATGTGCCCCTTACGAAAGCAAGCAGGAAGAGACAGAAAGCATGTGTATGGAATCGAAAAACATACGCTTCTGTAAAATACCGCTGATCATGAAAATTGAGCCTGTAATGACCAGAATGTAATGGCGTTCGTTTTATGATCACGTGCTGCTTACTTTGATACTAACTTGTTTTCATAAATAGAGAAGAAAAGTCATCAAGTCCTGATCGTAATAGAGAGAAAGTAATTTTTTTGTGTCCAATGGGACGCATCTGGGACTAAATTTGTGTGTCTTTTAGGAAAATTATGAGTCTGAGACGCCGGACATGCAGGTAAATGGATCACTGGTTCTGAAATGCCTGTCGTGTTTTATCGCAGTGTAATACACAGCGTGGGCTTCTTTATTTGTTGACTAATAAATAATGGTTCTCACTACCTTTATGGAAAATTAAATAGAGAGAGGACCCTGCGAGCATAGAAAAAGTGTTTTATTGTTTTTTGCCACATTACCTCTATATCATAAAGCAAATATGAAGAAGCCTAAGCTTTGTATTACACTGATAAAACACTTTGTTTTCTACATTTCTTGAGAACACTCAAGAAATGTAGAAAACACTTGCTTCGGCCCGTGTTTCTACATTTCCCTAGTGTTCTCAAATGCCGTAGTGTTTTATCACAGTGTAATACATGGCTTAGGCTTCTTTATTCGTTAATGAATAAATATCTCTTACTATACTCTAAGACCTGATTCATACGTTGAACTTCCACCATCATGATGAATTCAATTCAATTAAGTGCAGCAGAAATGCGACTGTTGATTCATATGTCGCACTTATGTTGCATTTAATTAATGTTGTTGGGTCTGCTGGTCAGTGGGAAATATTTTCAACATATAGAGTTTTCAATATTGCAGACGAAGATACTCGGCAACGAAGGACTTAAATTTTGCAAAAAATTGTCTGCCAATGGAAGGAGAAGTAGAAGGCTGACAATGCAGCAGTATGTCTTGCAATATGTTCAGGTTAAAACTCTGGCTAAAACTCCAACTTGTCCTAATTGTAAAGAAGTTGTCTGAGCAGATTGCGTCTACAATCATGGAGAAAAGTGTTGACACATTTGAGCAAAACAAACGCTTTCTATCTGCGTCCTTCCGTAATTTCAAAAAACTTTTTTGTTGATAGCCAAACCCCCCTCGCCCCCTTTTCAATGTTGAATTACGCTCCGTGGACACTGTCA